TCATTTTATGAAATTGTTCAACGAACGTAAAATTCACCAAGGTAATGTACTCCTTCGAAAAAACACCTTTACTATTGCAAAATTAGAAGATTTTCCAGGATCACGCTTTATGTAGTTTCATTTAGACCTGATGTAATGTTTCGAAAAGAAAAACTGCAAAAAAGTTGAAATATAGATGAATAGAACAAAAAATACAACTGCAGTCCACATGTGGACTGCATGGTCGTCAATGGGTTAAATTGCTATGTTGAAGGGGGCATATTTTTTATAGCTCGTTTTGTAGTTCAATTTTTACTGCCTAAAAACCAACAGAAGTATAATTTTGAAGGGAAGGGTGTGTGGCGGTTCGTGCGATTCTGGGTGAGCACGGCCAAATTCGTGGCCATTCTAAAGACCCTGGAGCCTATTATTGGGGTACAAACTTGAAATAGAGTAAATCAGTATGGTTGGATGATCCTACTAATCTACCCTACTTCAAATTTGGGCCCCAATAATAGGCGCTAAAGTCGTCAGAATCACTATAAATTTTGCCGCGCGCACCCGGAATCGCACGAATCGCCCGTCCCTCTGAAGGAAACAGATTTTAGGGGGTACCTTTCAGTGCTCTTCGAGTCGATCACCTCCATACCTATGAAGTGTTCTGCAAAAGCAGGTATTAACTAGTTTCTGGTAGGGAGAGTTAGCTTTTTCGAGCATACCCGTCTGTTTCTAAGGAGAATTAGACTTAAACTGGTCGTTGTGTAGGAGGATATTGGAGCTGTAAGTCAGAAGATATTGTGACAAGGACGTCTCTTTAGGGAGACGTCTCCCTGAGCGTTTACACGTGCTAGAAAGCTGCTTCCCATTACTATAGAAGTAGATCTTGCTACGCCTAAAGTTTTTTTTCGAGTTTAATGGTGAAAGTCAAGACTTTTTTCGAGTTCCCGTTGCTCAATTCCGGTTCCTATTTCTGCATGGAGTCTGAAAATAAGTTTTAAGGCTGCACCTAAAGGCCAAGTTTTTTAAGTCTCTAGAGACTTTATTATACGCAATTTTCGCGTTTATTAGGAGTTGTCGAACATCTTACCTCATGAAGATGACGCGAATTTCGATGACTGGTGTTGACCGCGAGCATGTAAACTAAGCTTCATCGGCTCGTTTTCATGAGAGTTTTTATGAGGGCAGGGATCGGGAAATGCCACAGTAGCCCATGGAAGGCGTTATATGGAAACACAGCTGTCGTCAATAACACCGCCATTTTGCTAGTGTATGTGCTTCATTCTACGGGATGTTTTTTTACTTCCTGCTTCCTTTTTGATGTACTGATGATTTTCGTATCTTTCCATGCTCCCCTATCGTCTTGAAAATGAAAGGCATCCAAAGATCTGCAAAGGAAATGCGATTGTCAGAAAAAAATGCTGTGATAGAACCTTTTGAAGAGCTCTGACTTGAGCGGTTCTCTTGAAGCACCTATCTGTCACAGATTGTTTATGGATTGCCATTAGGTCGTGAGGCAAGCACGTACACTTGCCTGGTAAATAATTCGAAATGATGAGTCGTTCATTATTCAGTGTCAAGAGCAGAACGTTCCGGTAGACTGGGATCTTGAGGACATTGTAATCAGAGGATTTTCAACAATTTCGAACTGCTCTTGATGTATAGCTGTTTTGATGTACTAATGTTATTGATCCAAGCGAAATTGTCGTCGCAAGTTGACTTTGCCATCTCGGAGGCTATGTCAACTTACGACGAATTTGCTCAATTGCTCTGAATTTGAACGACTCCGAGATTCTTTAAAACTACCCTATGCATCGGCTTCCATATAGGAGGAACTGCAATAACTTCGCGTTGTGAGCGACAGGTGCAGGACGGTCTGCTTCCTGTATGTATAATGCTGTTCCTCATTACACTTGCGCTGCCCTTTAAAGGTACAGTTCACGATGAAGATGGCTTCCGACATATCGCACCACGATGTATTAGGTTGATGCATAATTATTACGGATTTTTTCGCGGCTTTTTTTCTCTCGATAGAATTTGAATATTGAGTTTGGGTTTTCTATAGAAATGATCTACTTGATTTTCTCTACAAGAATATACTCAATAAACCATCCGCATATTCGCGAAATTAGGCTTAACTACTTCGAGAAAGATTGGAAGGTGGCACAGTCATTCCGCGATCTCAGTAACTTTTCGGCGATCGAACAATCAGCCAGAGCCAACCAAGAAATGGGATCTGCCCCTAAATCTGCCATATTCACAAGCAGAAACTTTTATGGATTATCACGCCAACCGTTCATTGAAAAAATGGTTAGAGAATAGAAGTTACGTCGATTTGGATAACTTGATGGGCGATGTCAGGGCGTGGATCGCCCGTAAGGATCAAAACTTCTTCGCCTTTGGTATCCGACTAACTAATCAATGGGAAGCAGTGCTTGACGTAGATGGTAAATAAATTCCTGAGTAATTATCTGAATATGTCTTTGCTTAGTATTTCTGTAATTTCTTCAAGTAAAATTTGCTGGAATAATCCGCAATAATTATGCGTCAACCTAATATATAAAGGCAGGTAAAATACAGGAAAATGGAAAATGTCAAAATGTTTGACCGTATTTGACCGTGTTTGACCACCAGGACATCATGTGTACTTTCACTAGATCACCTAATGAACGATCGCTGAAAAGTTACTGAGATCGGGGGATGAGTGCGCCATCTTCCAATCTTTCTCGAAGTAGTAAAGCCTAATTTCGCGAATATACAGATGGTTTTCCAAATATATTCTTGTAGATGAAATCAAGTAGATCATTTCTAGAAAAAACCCGAACTCGAAAGTCAAATTCTTTCAAGAGAAAAAGAGCCGCGAAAAAATCCGCAATAATTATGCATCAACCTAATATATATGACCGCCCAGTGTCCCATCTGTTGCGCTATCAGATCAGTAGACGGCCTAAAAGGCGTTGCGAGGGTTAAGAGATTGTAACGACAGTATGCCACGCCCTTGGCGGACGAGATTAAACGGCATTGCAGGAAGGGACTCATATTTCGAAAATCCGGACACCAGCCTAGACCCATAGATACAGCGGGAAGGAGTTTGGACTTTTTTGGTCTCGATATAATCAGCTCTTTACGCAATTAACAACATTCAAAATCTCATCCAAATATCAATTACATGCCATTTCCGTCTTGCTGTTCTCTTACAACCTCTAATTTTATTACATTAAGGAGACCTTATGATTTGCGGACCGGCTAATTCTTTCGCTTGCACCGATAAACTGCCAGATAACTGGCAACACTTCCGCTTCACAAATTGAAGCAAATAACTGAAAATTATCGCGAACCGTACCTTCATGGTTCGAGCAACGTCAGCTTTTTCTGGGAGCAAGTGCTCATCCACTGATAAAGATTCCCGTATAAAATTACTTCCGTTGGGTAGAATTCAGGTTGTGAGGTAACAAGATAGTATTCTTCCCGGCCTATTTTGGAAGAATACTGCAAATCACGGATGCCTCCACTTACCTGTTTGCATAAGTCGTTGATGCATGGGATATTTACGCTAGGTAAATGAAGCGATTTAGGTTCAATGTCTGCTTAGTAAATAGCTAAAGGAGCTGCAGCTAGCTATTTCATGTCAAATTTGCTAGATTTTAAAAAGCGTCCCATGATAGCTGGACGTACCCCTATGTAATGGCGTGGTAAGACCGAGTTTGTCGCGATGTTCTCCACGATAATTTAGTAATAATTAGTTGTTAGTATCTACTTTTATATTATATTGTGTATATTCTATATTTTTAAATGTTTTATTCATTCAGTAGTAATTTTGACATAGTCGTTACCGAAGTTATGACCTTTAAAATGAAGACAAGAACGAAGAGGGGG